AAATATTGGGATTCTTAAAAATTATAATTCTATTCTGATAAAGTTATGGAACAGCCTGAATTTATCATGGCCCGCTCGCTCATTGGAACACAATTTTGGCTTTGAATTTATTCATATGTGGACCGCTCATCGAGTGTGGGAAGATCTCATGTTGCATCCATATATCAGATTCAAAAACCAATGGCTGCAGAACGAACGTGAAGCAATCATACTCTTATTATTCTAGATTGATTCAAAGCTAATTAAGATTTAGTTTTACTGTCTTAAAACTAAGATTAACTCAAAACTAATATAATTATAGATAATAATATGGTATTATTACGTCATACAATGTGCTGACGTAAAATATATTATATCATTTAAAATAATAACGAGATATATTATATTATTCAAAATAATGATATAATCTACTATGTTATAACCAGGATGGCTAAGGGACAATAATAGGAGGTTCACTGTTAAAAGCGTATACCTACAGTGAGTAAAAATTTGATAATGAGGTTTCCACTCAACCGTGGAATGCTATAATGAAATATCGAGGACTTACCTATCTTCTGTTCTTGAAGCAGAGCTTTAAGGTATCCTCGAAGTACTTAAATTTGTGTGGCATAATGGATTCGAATGACTCGTTGTAGAAACAGACATCACCGAAGCTTTTCATCTGCTCTTTTCTCCGTCCACGGAAAGTCCTCTAGCTCTTGGCAAATCCATGGCACAATTTTACAACAAAGCGTGTGGATTATCGAATTCAAGAAAATTCATCGCGCAGCGAATGCAGTAGCTAATTTCATTGCAAAACTGGATACTCCTCCATATGACTGATTTTATTTGACTCCTTTCGCTCCAATTTCAAACAGACATGCACGGCCCTCTTTACCTTTGTGTAAGACGCTAATATAATGACTTTACCCTCATCTTTTATTCAAAAATATATTGAGGACTACCTCGAGTCAAAACTTTGGTTTGGTTAATCTGTAAAAAACGGCTGCTAACAAACGAAGAAAGAGAGTGTCGTCATATGTCGAATGAGGCTGTTGCGAACATGTGCAGCAGGGCTGGAATCCATCTCCCACGGATTTAGGGACTGTGTGGTAGCCCGCCTGGCATGGAATGAGGTCGTAAAGCCTGAACGAATGGATCAGTTTGTGCATATGGACATCACGGAATGGATACACCTGAACCTCACACAACAGACCTGTAACATCCCAAATTATGGGTTAGTGACTTAATTGTAAAACTTCAAAATTTGATAATTAAAGTGGAATAGTTGAATAGTTCAATAACTTATCTGGAAATAATTTATGAATTATTGTTAGTAATTATTAAATAAAGTAAAGGGCAAATTGGTCATTTGACATGAAATATATTTTTTCCTTTAATAGGAGAGAAACACGTGGGAGGGGGGAGAAGTAGCTGGAAAACTCTCTTCTTCTTCTTCTTGTTTTCTTCTTCTCCAACGTGAAGCACCAAAGCCAAGGTAAGTTTTCTGATTAATTGATTATTTGTTGATTTTAAGTATGAGTTTTGATACTTAGGTAATACTTAAGCCTAAGGAAAGCTTGTCTTAAAATAAAAAGATGAAGAAGTTATGAAAGATTAAAGAGAAGAGGTTTTTAAGGGAATTTCTGGAAAAGAGTTAATAAAGGAACTTTGAGATAGAATTTGACTTGTCATAGGTTTGAATAAGAAGTTATAAGTGTTAGAAATAAGTTTGGATTACATGGAAAATTTAGTAAGATTCTTAGTTTTAAGAATCTGAATGATATATGGGAGATAATAAAGTGTTGAAATGATAAAAGTTAGTTAAAATGGTTGTAGTTGAGTTTAGTGGTATGAAAGGAGTTTTATATGAGGAAATTCAGTAAAGGGTTGACGAATTTTCGGGTGAAAAAGCATGTTTTGGGCAGAGTGTATCGGTACCCTAAGTATCTGTACCGATACCCTCTTGAACGAGAAATCACAAAATGCAATAAAGGTACTGATACCTTAAGGAGTGTATCAATACTCCCTAAAGGAAAAAGTGAATATAGGTCTATTAAATTCGTTTAAGTTAATAGCATCGAAGTATAAGGTTTAGGCTTCTAATAATTGTCTTGAAAATTATATTTATGTAGATACATAGTCTAAATGAGTTCCGGAACAATTGAAGAATTAGGATCGAATCAAAGCAAGCAAGGCTAAGGTGAGTGCAATTTAATTGTACTTATGTTATTGATCAAACATTAGCTTGCGATGAGCCAGTGACGGAGTTACTATGGTAAGAAGTGACTCCTAAATGTTATTTGGTATGATGCTTAAGTGTGCATGAGTACATGAAAATGAGTATAGGTGTTATATGTTATTACATGTGACATGATTTACATGATTACATGTATATGCGATATGTGATACTGAACTACATGAATATATGAAAATATGATATCAACTAGGTGATATGTCTAATATGTTATTATATGTGCTATGTGATGTATATATGAATAAGATATGACATACGTACATGAACAAATGAGAAATGATATAAGCCATATGAAACGATCTACGTGATTACATGTAATATGTGATACATATTATATGACATGAGATATATGTTTACACATACATGTGGTATGTAACAGAAGAGAAGGAACATATGATTATAAGAAAAACGATATGAATAAAAGAATGATACAAGTGATATGAAATATTATAAATGATAATGCTTGTGATGTGATATGAGAGCTAGTGGTATAGTTAACATGCCAAGAGTCGAGGGTTACCTATGTTCTTCAGAACATGGACTGATTACCTATGTTCTTCGGGACATATGGACTGTTTACCTATGTTCTTCGGAATATATGGACTGTTTACCTAGGTTCTTCGAGACCTATGGACTGGTCTTTCGGGACATTTATACGAGCTGTGGTGACAACATATGTGTGCACAATCTCAGTGTACTCACATACCTTGAGTTCTCAATAATGTACATGGGTAATCCAAAGATAAATTGAAGTGAAACTGACATAAGAAGATAAGTTTTATATGTGCATAACATGATCATATATAATATAGTGTAATAGATATATGCAAGTTGAACTGTCAAGATCAAATGGTAAGAGTGCATGTTTCATGAATTCATTATTATTATGTTTTATATGCTTCACTAAGTCAACGACTTAGCGTGTGATTGTTTCACACGTAGGTTCCGAGAAGAGGAAGATTGATAAAAGTTATGCAAGACAAGTCAGTTTCTCATTTCCAAAGATCAAATCAGAAAATAATTGAATAGTTTGTATTTTGTAATACTAATTGTGGTTTGAATGTAAATAAATATTTGAATCCGATATGTTATAATCGATTTTGTAAAATGGTATGATTTAGTTTTGTAATGGTTTAAACGTATTTATGTAAATGATAACTTGATAGTGATGAAAGATTAAGTTTTTATGAGTTTTATATATGTTTGGGCGAAATTACAGTAGCAGGGTATCGGTACACTGTAACAGGGTATCGATACCCTATAGCATTCAGGAAAATTTTTAGCATCGGTATTATTCATTACTGTTCATGGTACTATTTGCACAGTATCGATACTATTCATACAGTATAGTACTATTCATAAAAACAATTTTATGACTTAAATTTGTTATAACGAAACATAATTCAACAGTATATTATCATATTTTCTTAATATTAGTAAAAGATTTAAAATTGTTCACTATTTTGTACAAGTAAATGTTTTGAAATGTCAATGTGACACATCGAATTCATATTCGGGTCGGGTACGGGTTTGGGGTGTTACAAAACCCACTTTCCAACTAGACCTGAAGACTGGGATCTGCTGTTCGGTGCACTCATATATATGTTGTATATGGACTGGACGAAACAAAATGATCTTCGAACCGGATGCGGTGGAGGTTGAAAGTATTCTTCTGGTCAGCCGCAGGCAGCAGGCTATAAACGGAAGCCTTGAGTTCTATTGCAAGGATCGAAATAAGGACAGGATCTCCATTGACGAACATTGACCGCCATAGACCTTGGCAGCCCCCTCCGACAGGCTGGCTCAAACTTGACACGGATCAGTCAAGAAAACCTCTCTGGGATAGCCGCACGTGGTTGTGATCTACGAGACTCCAATTCCCTAGCGGGATTTGCAAAAGCAAATGACTATTGTTCAACACTAGATGCAGAACTATGGGGAATTTTTGGGATTAAGGCATAGAATACACCAACAAGAACCATTGTAGTCGAAGTTGACAACAGAGATGTTTTTAAACTCTTAAACCAAGGAACACGAATGGAGGCATTTCAGCGACGATACCACATATCACAGAGTATCGAGAGAGGAACAGAATAGCAGACGTATTAGCTAAAGTTGCATGGAATTTGCCTTTCGGCTTCGGCACCCGCCATCCAGCATTACCAATCTCCACCTAACGAGATTACAGGCTTTACTGCATGATGAGCTCCTAAACGTGAGGCAGGAAGATGATAGTTAACTTATAGTTTTATTTCTTCTCGTTTAAAAACAATAATTAATTAACCAACGATATTCGTCTAATATAAACTATTTTAACAAAAACATTCAACGTTCGGTTATTTAAAATGATCATTAAGGACCTCAGAAAATGAAAACACAATAGAATTATATACATATATTGCCGAATGTCTAATTGATTCAGTTACTAGCTTCAATTCTCTCCTCAAGAACCTCAGAAAATGAAAATTCTCTTCCTGACCAGAGACACTACACTACACAATACGGCTATCTCAAACCATCTTCCATCTTGCGGGATGGTTTCCCAACATTAACACCACACCTAAACAACGCCTCTATGCTTATTTTGTTCAACAAACTCATTTACATTACATACAAAGAACCCCTCCTAAAGTATTTACATTACAGGATTCCTTTTAAGCATTTTTCTCTCTATGATGACTTCAAAATTCCACCGTTTTAAAACTGGCATTTTGTAAGACCTCTTCGTCGTTATCTATGTACTCTCTTTGTGGATTGAAATGGGTTCTAAGCCAGTGCAGGGATGCTGCAATTTCGGCTATCCCTGTCAAGGCAATCAAACCCCTCAACTCTCACCGCTGGTTTGTTACCAAAACTTGCCCGAACACAGCTACCTTTCCTTGAACCGGATGATGGAGAGGGGGACAAGCCTAAAGTCGGCGACAGCGATGAAAGTGAGGTGACGACCTTCTCATCCCCGAATCGAGCATCCTGAATTAATGGGTTAGCTACTCTGCTCGGCGGCGACCCACAAAAAAATGGGGGCGGTGACCCTACTTGTGTACGACTTTCCTCCACTCCACAACCACCCTGTTAAATCCAAAACCAATAGCCATATGAATTTTATAAGAAACAATGTCCTAAAACATGAAGTTCTAATCACCACCCTGTTTTTCTAGTGCAAGAAACTATGGGTTTTATAAGTGGTCACCAAGTGGATGCTGCTAAACATATTTATTGCGTTGGGATGCCGCCATTGTTTATGGGACCAAACCTTAGTTTCCTTTATAATTTAAAGACTGATTTATTGGTGTCTAAAACTAAGACCATTCTAATTCCTACTTGTAAATAAGTTCAACATAATTTATGAATATAAATAAATTAGGAGAAAGAAGCATACCTTTGTAAGAATCATATCCAAAACATCGTTCCCTGGTTTTGAATCACAAAACTCCCCTTGATCACTGAAAAACACAAAACAATTTGCCATTTTTTTTTTGCTTTAGCCTTGTATGGGAATATAAATAAAAGTTGAAGGATTATAAAGAGGGGAAAATTACCTAAGTTGCCATCTAGGAGACCGAACAGGGTGGCCGTTGAAGGAGGTTTTTAAGAGACCCAAACGTCGTGGTTTTGGGCAGACCATAGTCTCTCCCCGATCCGTAACCATGACTGACATCGGAATGGAGCTTCGCATCTCCTCACGGCTGATTCCAATAGCGTTTTTTTGGATCACAAACTGCTTCACCATCAACCTTTACAATTTTTCTATCGATTATTATGAATTATTTTCCCTGTTCAGTCAGCAGCAACATGCTTAATAAATTATCTTCCTCAAATAGAAAGCAAGATATAACTGCATAATTTTTTCAACATTAAAATTGCACAAAATTACTTAAAAGCAGTTATATATCCACAGATCTACACACATAAAAAAAAACAAATTAAACTGCAATTCGGACCCAAAGAAGAAAAAAACTTAAGTTTAATTTCTTCACAGATCTACCGAGGCTTAGCAAAAGTGATACAAAAACAAAAATTAAGTATCCATTTTCTAAATCTACATTCCACTACAGACGTGGTCCAGATCAAGGGAAATATGATTCGTAGCTGACAATATGGAGGGAAAAAGGCCATAGCTATACCAAAAAGATCAACATAGAGATGATAGAGACGAGGAGAGAGTAAATTACCCTAGCTTTTAACTGCACAGAGCCTCTGGAATTCTTGGAGTGGATAATAGTATAAAGAGAGCAATATAAAAACTTTAGAAAAATAAAATACAGAAATGAAGCTGATAGATTTAGTCAAGGGTACAAAGAATGATGGAAAAGGAGAGGTCCGTTGTGATTTATAGAAGAGACAAGAGAATCACAAAAAATTGAAAAATTAGAAAAAAGAAAAAGAAAATAATAATCGTGTGGGAATTTGGGGCGGAGAAAATAAATCAATTAATTAATAAAATAAAATAAAATAAAATAAAAAGACAGAAACAATAAGCATTTAAATAAAATGAGATAAATTATAAGTTATTTGTTCAATTAAAAATTAATCAATATTTAATTTAGACAAACTTAATAATTTTAAACTCTTAAAATTTTTAAATCGAATCTGCTCCAATTTTAAGTTTTTCAAATCAATTCAATAACTCTCATTTAACTGCTTTACAGCCCTATGCATGAGGGGAGAAAACACATTCAGAGCAACCATTTCTCTGCAATCTGCTCTGGCATTTATTTATTTGTTTATAAATTTTAAATTAATTTTTAATTAACTGTTTATAAATATATATCACGAAGGCGGTGCCGTCCTGCCGCCAGAAATACCAAAGGGTTATAGAATCTTTCAAGAAATATCAGATGGGCCAACAGTTTTCCACGAACCAACTACCAAACCGACTTGCCGCGACAAATATTAAACTTTATTGATTTATTTATAAATTCGTTTATTATATTTTTTATTTTCTAAATTTTTTAATATTAATATAAGTACATTAAAAACTAAATTTAAAGTTTAAATTATGTTTTTTTTCTTTGACTTACAATTAATTAAATAAATAAACAAACACGTTAGTAAATATAAAAGAATATATTTACGAATACTAAACAAATATATTTATGCTCATTAAACGAACTAAACACGAATATCTTTAAAAATAAACAGTGAATACAAATGTGACGTTAACAATTTAATAAATATAAAACCAAACTTAAATATATTCAATAATAAATAAATAAATATAAATAGAACTATAATCGTTCAAACTCAATTGATTTATATTCTTTCCAAGTCAACAGTTCATGATGAGATTACTATTGAACAAAGGAGGAACGTTGGGTTTTAATTAGCTCAGGCCCGCATTGGGCTATTAACTGTGAAGTTGGACCCTCGACGCAATTAACTATATTGGTCCATAGTACAATTAATACGAATCAATAGAATCGGTCTCCTGAATCGGGCTGAGGATCCATCACCAAATACTACGGGCTTTCAAACTCCAAACCACCACAAACTCATAATCTTTTTTTTAATATTTATTTTATGATTTATGTTTAGATTTGTGGTTATTTTTTCAATAAAATTTTTTACATATAATAAGGACGTTTTTATATAATTAATAATACAAAAAACTAATTATTTAAGATCACAAAAACATTATACAAGGAAAACATTGTACTTGAGATCTTATAAGTTATGGTATACAAAGAAAAAGGCTACAATTGTACTTAAGATTCTATCATAACATACACAAAGTTTTAGGTTGAAAATAAATTTATAAAATTTTCAAAAAAAAGTAAAAAATAGATTATCAGCAAACAAAAATATAAAATTAAATATTATATAAAAGTTTAAATTTTTTTAAAAGACTACACTCTATCTACTTATAGATCTTATAATTGTCAAGCGACTATTCACACACTAAAGTCTAAACCCATCCAATTGTAGTTTTCCCAAGTCCAAACTTAGCATACAATTCTCCCCAAAGAAATGGATGTGATGTGACTCCATTTTTGATCTTATAGATAGTCATTTCTATCCATATTTCCCTTCAATTGATTAGACCCCATTGAAATCTCTTCTCCTCCAGCCTTGAAGCAGGGTCATGGGACAATCAATTCGATTTCCAAGTATAAGATACTATATATTAATGACAACAGCCAAATAAGAAAAGATGGTAATCTTAATCAATATACAGTGCTTATTAGTACAACTACATAGAAAACTTTCCATTTGAACATTATCACTTCAATCGCCTTAAATGATGGGGGTGGGGGTCATAAATGGCACAGTATTTAACTATAATGCTTGAATTGTCATTCAAAGTATTCATTCCAATAGGGCATATTGTTAGGAAAATAAACCGAGTACAAGTAATTTCCCTATAACCAGATTAGTGAGAATGCGAAATAAAAGCGGAAAAATAATACCCGAAAATTGATAACGGAGTTCAGCCAATTGTGCTTACGTCTCCGGGCTGCTGCAGATCTTTTACTAAGAGAGAAAATTTACAGGTGTTTACAAAACACTCACTACTCACAAGAAAGCTTTCTAGTATAGGAAGAAAGAAATGTTTTGGGATGATTTAGAAGCTAAATGAGCTAGGGTATTTATAGTTGAAACTTAGGGACTAATCTTTGAAAATACCCTAAAGTGCAATGACTAAATGTGTGATTTAACCATTTTAATTTTCAACAAAATTATACCAAACTTTGAACCAAGCATTATCGGTGCCAAACTTTGTTGAAACTTCAGCCCTCTTTAATTTCCACAGGCGGTGCCCACCCCCTCCTTTCTTTGACTTTACAATCTCCCACTTGAAGACTGATTTTAATCTGTCTTCACACCTCGATCGATGCAGCAGCATTTCTGGTCTTGTTACTCTAGCATGCCAACTGAAGCTGAACACAACTTCAGTTTGTCCGTAGTCACCGTCTTTGTCAACATGTCTGCAGGATTTTGAGCTCCACTGATCTTTTCAAGTTTCAAAATCTCATCTTCCAGAAGAGACCGAATAAAATGATATCGTAATTGTATGTGTTTCGTCCTGGAATGAAAAGACGGATTTTTTGCTAGATGGATAGCACTTTGACTATCGCAATACAAGACATTGTTTTCTTGTTTCTTGCCTAACTCTTCCAAGAAACTTTGGAGCCAAACCATCTCCTTGCTGGCTTCTGTAACAGCGACATATTCTGCTTCAGTTGTGGAGAGAGCAACTATCTTCTGTAGTTGAGAAACCCAACTCACTGCAGTTCCTCCTAGAGTATAAACATACCCTGTAGTGCTCCTTCTGATGTCGACATTTCCGGCTAAGTCAGCATCTACATAGCCTGTCAGTATCGTATCTCCACCTTTGAAACAAAGTGCTTTGTTTGTGGTACCCCGCAGATATCTAAGGATCCATTTGACTGCTTCCCAGTGTACCTTGCCCGGATTATTCATGTACCTGCTAACAGCTCCCACTGCATGAGCAATATCTGGTCTGGTACAAACCATGGCATACATCAGACTTCCAATTGCTGAGGCATACGGCACCTTTACCATGTGTGCACGTTCTTCCTCCGTCTTTGGTGACTGTTCTTTGGAGAGCCTGAAATGAACACCTAAAGGTGTACTTACTGGTTTAGCATCTTGCATGTTGAACCTGGAGAGTACTTTGTTGATGTACTCAGCCTGTGATAACATCAAAGTCCCCGACTTTGTGTCTCTATTGATCCTCATCCCAAGAATCTGCTTTGCAGCGCCCAGATCCTTCATAGCAAACTGCTTCGACAATTTTTGCTTCAAGTGTATAATCTCTTGCATGTCTGAACCTGCAACGAGCATGTCATCAACGTACAATAATAAAATAATGAAGCTGTTGTCGAACCTCTTGATGTAGCAACAATGATCTGCTTGGCATCTGATAAAACCACTGTTACTCATGAAACTATCGAACTTCTTGTACCACTGTCTAGGAGCTTGTTTTAAACCATACAAGCTCTTCTTCAACCTGCATACCAGGTTTTTCTTGTCTGCCTCTATGAAGCCTTCTGGTTGCCTCATATAGATTTCTTCCTCCAAATCACCATGAAGGAAAGCTGTCTTTACATCTAACTGCTCAAGATGTAAATTCTCTGCAGCTACAATTTTCAACACCAGTCTGATTGTAGACAATTTTACGACTGGAGAGAAAATTTCATTGTAGTCAATACCTTCTTTTTGCTGAAAGCCTTTGACAACCAATCTTGCTTTGTAGCGTTTGCTCCCATCGTGCTCTTCTTTGATCCTGTAAATCCACTTGTTGTGGAGCGCTTTCTTGCCTGGTGGTAATTCAGCTAATTCCCATGTCTGATTTGACATAAGCGAGTCCATCTCATCTTTCATGGAAAACTCCCACTTGACTGAATCCTCCACTTGCATTGCTTCATCATAGCACTCTGGTTCACCATTGTCAGTCAGCAACAAGTAGTGTAAAGAAGGAGAATACCGTTGGGTTGGTTTAGGAATTCTGGAGGAGCGTCTCAGTTCTGGTGTGCCTGGTTCTTCTTGAACTGCTTCAGGATTGATCTGAACATCATTTCCAGAAATCTCCTCGAACTCAGCAAATTCCTTTGTTTCAGCTTCGGTATTACTTGATTCTGCGGTTGACCTATCTTTGTACATCACATTTTCATTGAAAATGACGTCTCTGCTTCTGATGATCTTCCGATTTTCATAGTCCCAAAATCGGTAACCGAACTCATCACCGCCATAACCAACAAAAGCACATTTGTTGGACTTAGCATCAAGCTTACTTCTTTCAGCAGAGTCTATGTGTACATAAGAAATACAACCAAACACTCTTAAGTGTGAAAGGTTTATTTCTTTCTTGCTCCAAACTTCCTCTGGTATTCTGCCATCCAAAGGAACTGAGGGCCCACGGTTGATCAAGTAAGCTGCAGTGTTGATTGCTTCAGCCCATAGAAATTTGGGCAAGCCGGCATGTATCCTCATACTTCTGGCACGTTCATTCAGAGTTCTGTTCATGCGCTCTGCTACACCATTATGTTGCGGTGTCTTGGGAACTGTTGTCTCCATCTTGATCCCATTGTTTGCGCAGAAATCTCTGAATCTACTGTCTCTGTACTCTCCTCCATTGTCAGACCTCAACCGCTTGACTTTCAAACCAGTCTCATTTTCCACCATGGCCTTCCATTTTCTGAAGATATCGAAGACTTCTGATTTCTTCTTCAGAAAATAAACCCACACCTTCCTTGTTGAATCATCGATGAAGGTGACATAATATAGTGAGCCTGCAAGAGATGGAACTG